TCATATTTACTGATTTGCATTTGTTGAATCATCCTTGCATCTCTGGTATAAATCCCATTTAATCATGGTGAATGAACCTTTAAATGTGTTGCTGAATTCAATTTGCTAGTAATTTATTGAAAATGTTTACATATATATATATATATATATATATCAGGGATATTGATCTGTGGTTTTATTATCTAGTAGTGTCTTTTTTGGCTTTGGTATCAGGGTAAATTTACTCTTTTATCAAAATAATTAATAACCTATTTCAGGCATTACATAGCTCCTAGCACTATTATTTTTAGTGGATAAGTAAAACATGTATCTAAACACCTTGAATATAGGCAAGTTATCATTTCATCTTTCCATTCTAACTACAGAATAGCCAGTGTGGCAGATGGCAGGGAACCAACGTATAAGTGGGTGGCCTATGCAGAAATGAAACTGGTTATACATGTAGTGCAATAAAGTTAACAGAGTGGTTTTATTAAGGAATACTTTATTACTGCATATCAGAAATTAAGGGAAGCTTAGTGGCAAAGAAAGTGAGTATAGAAATCATGTCAATTGGCTGATAAAATCATCACCACAACTTCCAAGAACCTGGAAATCACATTGCTTTATGCCCAGTTTGAATGCATGTGTAAACCAATCTATCACCAAGACAGTCTCAGAGCAAAGTGTCAGATTAAAAGCAGTCGAGTACAATACAACATATTTTTTAAAATTTATTTTGCAGAGGAATTATGCATATATTTCTAATTGCCATGCTTGAGTGTATCAATCTTTTCTCAGAATATTAGTCAAATTGTGAAATTTTTATTCAATAAAATCACTGTTCTTATCAAGAAATTAAGAGCTGCATAAGAAATTATATGATGGCATTCAGTATTACTTAAAAATTGTAATTTCCAGAGTAACTTTCTATTTGTTATATTTCTCCCTAAATTTTTAGTTTTGGGGGAATATAAAACATTATTATAAATGTTTATAATCTCAGACCCATATTAATTAGAATACATCAAATGTTTTCCCTATAAAATGGGTCCAACTAACTTAGTTTAAAACATCTTATATTCCTAAAAATAGGATTTTGGAAAAGGCAATTGATAATAGTATTACATCTTATTCAGACATTACTTAGACATATATATGATTAACTACAAAATAAAATGTATATTACTTAAAATTTTAGGACAAAAAGTTTGTATTTGCCATTTAATTTCAACTCCTGAATAAGAAAATTTAAATCAGCTATAATTTTTGTTCCTAAATAGAAATATTAAAACTAATTTCGTAAAGATCTTGTTAAATGTACAGGGTCCAGCACAGATACCACACCTTATTTATTACAAAGTATTTTATTATAAAATCATAATTATGTAATTCTGTAACAGAATAATATCACACTCAAGCATACCATGTGACATTTTAGGTGAAATATTCAAATTAAAACTATAAAGTATTATGCCCATATTATTACCCTACCAACCACACTCAAGCAGGCCTTCCTACTGCTGGACCCTGTATATAAGGCAATGAAAGCACATCAAATTCAATGATATCTATATCAATATCCTCAGAAAATAAAAGAAAGAAATAATAAAGTGATCTGATAATTAGATTTTTTCATCTATTTTATTTTTTATCATATTAGACACTTTGTTGGCCCTCTTATTTAAAAAAATATAACATGAAATTATTTTTCAGTAATTTCCCAATTGTTTTTAAGGAAAGAAATTAAGATTTTTTGGAGGTAAACTTGAAATCAAATAAGTGTCTTCCTCTCAGGACTCTATATTTATTGGTCTAAACATCAATAATTGCTCTAAAATTCTTTAGAATGAGTTGTATACTGGTTTGCTAAAGTAGATCATTGCTTATACTTTTTATGTCTTGCAATAGCAATGGCATTTTAGAAGTAAAGGGCATTGAGACAATATGTATTTTCTTGAATCTCTCTTCCTCTTGGGAGGGAGCCTACTTCGGAAGTACTCCCAGTATAAATGGAAAGAGCAAAAGTCATGAAATCCATTTTAGTTAAACATACAGGCTGTGTGCCCTCAGCAAATTACTCAACGTTTCTAATCTCATGTATGAAGGGAGTAAAGCAATAGCAAACTTACGAGGTGGTTGTAAGCTGAAAATCCGTGTTGTGGACTGGATGTTTGTGTTCCCCTAGAGTAGCGTGCTGATGCCTTAACCCCAGTGTGATGGTATTTGGAGATGAAGCCTTTGAGAACTAGTCAGGTTTAGATGAGGTCATGAAGATGGGGCCCTGCAATGGGATGGGATGAGTGTCCTTGTAAGAGGAAGAGCAAAGCACACCTGGTTTACCCTCTGCCATTAAGAACACAGTGAGACGGACACAACTGTGATCTAACATTCCTGGCTTCCAGAGCCATGGGAAATGAAAGGCCTTTGCTTAACCCATCCAGCCTGCAGTATTTTGTTGTAACAACCTGAGCTTACTGAAGCAAGGAGATGAGGTTTAGAAAGGATAAGATGCAGAAGGCTTCTTTTCTTGAATTGTATGTTCGAGGAAAATGTATTCTTTTAAAGATTAAAGTGATGAAGTTACTGAGGCTACCTTGAAATTTCTCTGGAAAAAATCATGATCTGTCACATCTGAAATCTCTTACTCAGGGGGAAGAAAGTCACTCGGCATTGATTAAGACTTTTTGGTGTCACAATTTCTGTGGGAAATTCTCCAAGTCTAAGATAGGATGAGTAGTCTTTATTCTCTTCCACACCCCAATGTTTAATTTTTAAGTTTGGGTTTTTTTCTCCATTACTTGGAACTACAACTGGGTTTTGAGGAACTGATTATTATTTGTAAATAATCAGTTCATGGATATATCTAACTATTGGTGAAAGATCTTGGCACAGATTAATATCTGAAAAACAAAAATTTGGCAGCGATAATATATCACATTAGAGAAGTGGGCTTGTTTGTATGGCTAATAGTTGGCTGTTTTCTTTTATACTACAGTGTAAATCATTTTATAAGAACCCAAACTAGCTCATATTTTCTATCATTCTTGCCATATCTTTATATATATAGCCTAGAGTTGGCATGACAGAGTAAGAACATGGGGGGAGGGGCAAGAAAAGTGTTTAAATTCCAAGAGCAGTAAATTCCCCCCAAATATGATGTGATTAAACTATTTCTCATAAAAAGAAAGCTAAAATATATTTTAAAAAACTGATAATAATTCCTTAAAAGAGTAAAGTGCCACAGTGTGATAAACATCCTGGTAGAAATAAATCATGGCTGCGTTTAAACAGACATATCAGTAAGGGCAAAGCTTCTGGCCGCAAGGAGTGTGACTCAGTCGTATAGATGATAATGACAGACTGTACCTTTATAGTCACCTTTCTTTTTGCATTCTGCTTTACATGTGGCTCCATGGAGTTGTAAGGGCTTTTTAAAAGGACTTCCTTCCCTACTGCTACAGATATTTGGAATGTAAAACTCAGAAAGTGAAAAGATGAGAGAAAATTGAGATTGTAAGATTATACCCAGTGTTCCAAGTTACACACTCTAATGAAAACTGACTTCTTGATCATGAGAATGGTGATAATGAATGTGGCAATAAACATGGAGAAATGGTACTTGTCATTCAATAAACCACTCCTATTGTTCCATCGACAACTATGTCCCTAAGAGAGTTCTTGGAAGGACTAATGGAGTGTGATCATTTTTCATGGGGATGTGGTCCTTAAACACATAATTAAAAAATACTAACTTTTCGTGGGGGAGGTATTATCTCTGTTAAACACATACAAGGCAAAGAAAACAAAACAAAACGTGAAATTTACTTTGAATTCAGTTAACACTCAGAACATAGTGACAAATGGGCAAGGATTGAATCCTGGGCTATATTGGCCAAAACATAAGTCATAACCCAGACTGATCATGAAAATCTTTGTAAACATTCTAAGTTAGGTAAGTATGGGCATGCCTACACATGTTTAATATTGACTAGTGGCTTGCTAGTTATTTGTATCTCAATGAATAAGTAACAAAAATGGCTTGAACAATGTGGGGCTCTAGGTTCTTACCCTGAGCGTATGGATCCTTGTAGATTTATACCGTTAGCTCTGCAGCTACAGTTTCATGGTGTCATTTGCACAGACCACGATGCTCCAAAAAAGCAAAAATAGATTGAGAGATAATTCAAAATTTCACTGTAACTCTGTTAGCGTATAAAATTATTTGAAAAAAAAATCACTGAGTTCATAGAAATACAGTTCCATGTCTCAATAATTACAAAGATGGGAACAGTTTATTTCAGGTAGAAACAGCTTTTCCTCAAGGATATCTCTTCTTAAGTGTCCTTTAAAACACATTTTAAAATCAGAAGAGACAACTTGCAGTAGAAATTTTACAGGGTTACTTAGGTTTAGCTACACATACACATGCACAGAAGAAAGAGTCAGGGAAAGAAAAGAAAACTGCTCCCATCAGAAAAACAAGCACTTTCCCCCCCGATGTCCTGTCTTTGGATATGCACTGCCTTGGAGAAATGTATAAATCATTTTTTGTACATGGAACTGTCTTAGAAAACTAGAGATTTTCATACAAAGAAATCGGTTTGCTGAAAGAATGCCCACATGCCAAGTTTTGAGTTACTATCTGTACACCAGAGAAACTTATAGAGGAGCCCTGGGCACAGTTCCTGGTGTACGTCAGCACTGTGGGCTCACACTTTCTCCAGGCCTGAGTCACACTTAGTATTACAAATAATATTGTAACAATGCTGAAAATACTGGTACAAAACAGCTTTAAGATGATATTTCCAAAAAATATCCCTCCTTTAAAAATTGAATTGTTTAATCCAGGTTTTCTTTTTTGAATGTTTCAGCTTTAAAAAAGGTTTTTCAAGAAAATACTAGTGTTTAAAACATCTCTTAAAATGTCTATTAAATGACAGATTTTCTTAAGTACATTATTTTTTACAAAGCATAATTCAAAAGTCTATCTTCCAGGAAAACAAATCTATAAACTCCGGAAGTCTAAATCAAAAACATTATTTGTGATACATAGTTCTTCCATATTCCGGGGAAAAAATCCTTGACCATTTTATCATGCTAACTTATTTACAGAATTCAAATACTCTAGCAACATATATCAACTTTCAAGACAAATAAAACTGAATCCCACAACTAATAATTATAATTTCATGTTTTTCTATCATGTCTTAAAAATTGCCCAGCCCAAAATGTATATCTGCATAAATGTTATAGCTTCTAAACTATAGTGGAAATTTTAGATAGCAGTTTATTTAAGCCAAGCAAATTGTAGTGTGTATCATTCTCTTCTGGCAGAATTACAAACACACAAAGAAAGAAAACATTTGGCAAACATTTTTCTTGATGCACATGTGTCTTTCTTTAGAATTACAAGTATAACATATGCACTAGATTCTATACTTTTGTGAATTCTGATCAAAGTTGGAAAATAGATCTATATTTAGTAGTTAAAGCTAGGGGAGGAGTCTGATGACTTTCACCCAAAGCACAGAGCTCAAATATATTTTGTACTAGGAGATGCATTTCACATATTTAAGCAGGTCAGTCAGATGCCATGCTCAAAACTGTTATCCCAATTTTCCTTTATTCCTTTCATTTGCACACACTGATGGATTCTGCCTATCAGAGAATGTAAGTAAAACAGATCATGCAGTAGATATGACAAGTTTCAATTTGCATGGGCAATGCCCTAATGTGGAGACTTTTATGAGCTTTTATCTTTGTATAAGAGAACTGCAGCCATTATTCCTACTGGTTGTAACTTATTTATATTTTTTGTTTGTTTGTTTTATTTATTTACTTCTATAGCTGCATCCAGCTCTGGTTGTAGTTAACCATAAAGAAATTATTTAGATTTATTGATCAATCTCACGTGCACTTAAGTGTAAAACATAATAGACCTTATTTGTTGAGGAGAAATATTTACCATCAAATGAGTTTTCAATACTCCTGTTAGGGATGTATTTCTAAAATCAAATTGCCAAAGTTCACATTTTTAACTTTTTCTCCCATATCTAGATGACTGTATAGTCAGAATATTGTGTAAGAGGCTACCTAGAAACTGACTTTCTGTTCCTCAATTCATCGTGTATGGGTTGATGTATATAGGGTGAAGTTGAATATACATAAAAATAATTGAACATTTTAAAAATACAAGGAAAGTGAAGTAAAATAATTTTCTTAGAATGTTTCATGCATAAAACTTCTAAAAATATTCTGATATTGCCATGATCCAAAGAGAAAGTGTGTCAACTTAATGCATCATCTGACCAGCTGTAGCCATTACCACCTCACTGCACTATGTCTTGGATCTTCAATGTCAATAACAAAAGGTAAAAACAACATTCTTTGAAGATCGGAGCTGACCTTCTTTATTCAGCTAGCAATTACTCAGTCTAAAATCCTTTGTGAGCTAGTGTGAACTAAACACTTAGAGGTCAAATAGTCTTTCCTCCTTTATTGTATGGTGAGATAAGCTTGAATGTATGTAACAGAGACACGGAGGTATCTCTAGGTTACATGCAAGCAAATTTTGTTCTTCAAATGCATACACCACCAAACAGAAGACTTTAAAATCCCTCTTCTCTTCACCTTCTATCAACTATGTCATTTAAAATTCTTTACAATTTCTTCATCTACTTGTTCCTCACATCTATTTTCACAGTAACACCATTCAGTGAGTAGAGTGCTCTTTGATATTACTTTCTGGAACTTCAATGGATATCAGTGAATGATAAAGACAAAATAAATTATGAGCTGTATAAACCTGCAAGATGTCCCCACTTACTATACATATACATATAATAAAGTCTTCAAGGCTATTAAACCTATTTCAACTAACATGCTTGGACCCTTCTTCTAAAAAAAGTGCACAATTCTTTGTAAAAAAAAAGTAGTAAGGAGTACATGACAATTTAAATGATCTATGAACGAGAAACACTGACCATATTTATCCTACCCAGAGCCAGGAATAGGGTGATTTAATTACCCATCCTGTTGGCCCAGAGTCTGCAGTTCAGTGGTGTGTAAATTGTGATGGAGGAAAACATTCTTTCTGCTGTACATGTGTAAAGAGATTGGTCCCCTTGGCGGCTGTCCGAACCTGCCTGTGAAGGTCGAATGCTGTCGAGCCACGGCCACCTGGTCCTTTGGTTTCTCTGAGAAGGTGGCCAGCCCTTCGGTCTTAACTATTGGCTTCAGAGAGTTCTGCCCAGCTGTGGCCCTTAAGTTCTGGGCAACCTCTGAAGTGAGGGTTTCGTAAGTTCCTCTTGAGTGTTTGATGACTTCCGCTAGCTCCTTGTCCTTCAAGAAACTACTTAAACATAGACTTGATAGTTGACAGGCCTTGCTTTTGTGGGGGCTTGTCTGGTCAGCTGATGAGTATTTAAAACGGTCCTCGGTGGGTGTATGCATTGCTCTTCTGTCCCTTGTGCTGAGACTTTGGCTCACAATTCGGTTTCGATATGTAGCCTGTAATAAGGACACATAAAGAAATTATGTTTGTTTTTTTTTAAAGTTTCTTTTTTTTATTAAATTTTATTTAGTTACTTTTCAAGTACATTTTTTTTTAATCTATTTCTCCCATCCCCCCCCCCACCCGGTCTTCCCCCTCCCTCCCATTCCCCCCCCCCAGTCCTCAAGAAATTATGTTTTAAAAATATATTCTTAGTATATATATAGATTGCAGAGTGATATTTTGACATTTTGTGTGCAAACCCCTATATTTTCAACCAGCTTCAAAAAAATCAATGGAATTCTCCATTAGATTAAATTTATCAGTGCAGTATTACTACCAATAATGCTTAAATGGTTAAGTTACTCTAAAAGATGCTGTTTTATGGATTTTATTTAGAGTAATTTTAGGTATAACAAAATCCAGAGGAAGGTACAGAGATTTCCTGTACACCCCACGTGTAGCCTCCATCAGAGTGGCGCTTCTTTTTTTTTTTTTTACCAAGGATGAACCTACATTGACATGTCATGATCACGAAATCCATATTTACATTAGGGTTCACTGTCGGTTCACTGTTCAACATTCTCTAGGTACACAATTATAATGGCATTTATGCATTATTAGAATATGTATTTATTCATTATTAGAATAAATTATTAGAATAAATATATTCATTATTAGAATAAATAGTATTTTTACTGTCCTGAAAATGTCTGCTGTGCTCTGCCTATTCATCTCTCCCCTACTCCTCCTACCCTGGCAACCACTTAGACTCACCACCTTCATAATTTTATCTTTTCCGAATGTTGTATATTTGGAATTGTACAGTATGCAGTCTTTTCAGATTGGCTGCTTTCACTTAGCAATATGCTTTTACATTTCTTCCAGGTCTTCTCATGGCCTGCTAGCTCCTTTCTTTTTATCATTTAACTAAAAATCATTTTGAAATTTATCAAATTTCCTAAATTTGAATTCTATAGGTTTATCTGAGAATACAGATAATTTTAATAGGTAATGAACATCAATATATGAGTCTGTTAAATTTGTGTTAGATTTAATACACTACATTTACTTAAGTAAATGTGCAGAGAGTTTTAGAATGACCGATATCATTATTTATATGGGCAAAGTGGTAACCTAGAAATTTAAGGAACTACAAACAATGTCACAACAATGACCTAAGGAAAACAATAGAACACCTGAGGGGAATTTCAGCTTTTATTTTATTTAGGCTTTTGGATGCATTTTATTAAACCAAGTCAGGTACACAAGTACACTGCATCTTCTTTCTCACAATAAGTTTATACACTAATAATAGAAACAAAACATAGCTCATTGATTCATGCTGCGGAGAAGCAAAGATTACAAGCTGGCAGCAGAATTCCTCTTGAAGAGAACACTGTCTTGGCTTAGAAAAATGCACTGAGCTAGAAACTGATCAGCTGTCTTACTGCTTTGCTGGCAAAAGCGTAGGACTTATTGTTGATACTAAGGAGGAGGAAAAAAGGGAAGAGAGAGAGAAAAGGGAGCAGAGTAGAATATGTAACATTCTAAAGTAGCCAATGAAAATTTCTGTATGCTTGACATCTAATGGTATACTTTCAATTTCTTCTCTTTCCATAGTTCCTTAGAAAATCATTTTTGCAAACCTGATCTCCATGTTGAGCCCCAATTTCCTTATCATCACTATAATGGACTAATATTGCTAATTTGACATAAAACAAAACCAAAAACACAAACATGATTTTGACTCTGAAACCTACTCTTCCCCAGGTAGCCTCCTCCACAATAAATGGCAGCATTATCAAGCCAGCACCTGGAAATGACCTTTGCCTTCTTTCTGTTCTTCATCCCCCTTTAAATCAGGTCCTTGCTCATGTACTGGAAATATGCAACCTTTGAGTTGTCCGTCCTCTTCTCTTATCTCCACTCTAGCTCCTGACCCAATTCTCAGACACACAGCAAGCATTTAAAAACAAATATTTGCGGAGTAAAGTTTATCTGCTTGAGATATTAATATATACTCTTTATTGAGTATGCATTATATGCCAAGCATTCTTTAAATGATATAACATATTTAACCCTCCCAAGAGTCTTTTGAAGTAGCTTCTGTTATCATTATGCAGACTGGAAATCTGGAACACAGTGAGTTTGTACCCTTGTAGCCTACAGCTAGTATAGGGTAGACAGTCTGCTTGATAACCACAAGATCTTTCTGCCTCCCTGTATTTCTATGAGAATATTTCTGAAATGTATCACTTTTTTCTAAAATAATTACATATAGAACAATCTTGTAATTTAAATTGAGGCCTCGAGATTATTGAGAAGTAATCTTGAGATTACTGAGAAATAAGGTTATTATTATTAATGGAGGCCTACTGAGATGAATCTCTCTGCTTTTCTGCAAAACTAAGGTCGGTAAGGGAATACCCTTGGGATGTCCGTCTACTCAGTTATGTCAGATTGAGGTATTTTACCAATCATGTCCAGTCTTCCTTTTTTAAAAATTGTCTTGATTTTTAAATGGTCGTTCTCATTTTTATTATGTGCCTACTCAATTTCCAACTTGCCACTTTAACTCTTCAGTAGATCTGGAGTAGAGGTAATCAGAATGGTTATTTGGTGTATAAAAGAAACATTGCGTGACTTATAGCAGACATTTCAGGGACTTTTGTGGGAGAAAAATGAATAAAATGTTTTGATGCAAGTTTAATTTTTTCAGGAACTTTTCTATCTTACTTCTTCTGGACTCTTTTCTAATGCTCCAGGTATTTGGACTTAACTTAGAAATGTAAGCTTTTATTGTCTCTTCATCTTTGTCACTATACTTCTGTAAGAAATTTACCTAAATATTGAATCAGTTACTGACAGAATCCAAAGCAACACTGTGCTAAATGTCTGCATCCAAATGTTGGATGCATCATGGTTGCTATTTGTGAAATACTGCGAGAAAGAAATCGTTTCGGGACAAATGAGACATTAGTAAATTCATCACGATACTTATCAGTGGTAATCTTTTTCTTTTGTATTTCTGTAGATGCTGCCTCACAAAGTAGAGGAGGTGGGTGGATATTACTTCCATTACATTGCTTTTGGAAAAACAACCATTATGTTCTTTATGTGGCCATTTTAACTCTCCTGGGAAATTACACTAAATTGAATATACAGTTTTAATAAAGGTAAATAAGGGGATCCAATGACTCAACCCACAGACTCAATACTCCTTCTCTGACATAGTATCTGATACCTACAAGGTATATGAGGAACTAACTCTCAATTTAAAAAAATGCATATTTAATTTACCCATTCCTGTTTGTTTGGCATAGATTGATTTTGACATCTTAGACTACCACCCCCCTTTTTTTTAGTTCTTTATGATGTTCACCATTAAGTCCAGGGGTCATCATGTATGTGGGAGACTGGGTAGCACAGGGGTGACAAAAATTTGGGGATAGATATATATGGATTAATTTATTTATTTGATAAATAACTATTGACTACTACTGAGGGCAAAGCACTGCACTTCATGTTGGGAAACAGTGATGTTCATAACAAAACTAGCTCCTGCCTTCAGACAGCTTAAAGTCTGATGGGAGAATCAACCAGGGTCAGACACTTCCCAGCTAGGTCAGCACAGTAAGTTTCTTAACTGATTTTAAGTTGCCAATTTCCTCCTCTGTGACAGGAAAATTTATATTCGTACCTGGATGGCATACAGGATTATTAAGATTTGAAAAATTTCTATCTATAAAGTGCCTAAAGTTATACCTGGATGTAGTTATCCAATTAATAATGGCAGCAATAAAATAAAGTGGCCAATAAACCAAGAAATTACTTTGGTAGGTGAATATTTCATCCTTTAGAAGCTAAACCACTTTGAATACTTCTACCTAGATTTTTAAAAAGCATAGTAATTTCCTCCAGAATATTTAAATAATTTTACATCTATTGTTGTAGTTTGGTTCCTCAAAATAGACTGAGACAAATATTTGAATCAACAAACACATCATTTCTTGGAGTGTATTCTCAAGCCAACACCTGTGAGGAACAAAGAAAGCAGGGCCTGGCAAAGGGAGAATTTATAAAGTGTATGTAACCTCAGTGAGCAGGCTTGTTATTGTTATTATTATTACTTTTCTGTAGAGGAAAATTCTTGGGAAGGAACCTAGCTTCAATGCTATCAGCTGCCAATTTTCAGCAACTGGGAAAATGAATGCTTTAGTTGTGAAAGTGTGTGTTTGTGTGTGGGAAAAGGTGTGCATCTGAGGTGGAAGGAGAACCAGGAAGTACAAAACAGCATCCACTATACTTATTACCCTACTTGTATATTTAATATATTATAGGACAGTTTGGCACAGTGGCAAGAACATTGAACCTTGAGCCAAACAGTCTAATCTTGACTGTGCTCCTATCAAATGGTATGGCCTTGGATAAATAAATTAATCTTTGCAAAGGGTAATAGCTCTTTCTTTGTCTCTGCTGCATAGAATTCCATTGTGTATATGTACCACAATTTTTTGATCCATTCATTTACTGATGGGCACCTAGGTTGCTTCCAGCTCTTGGCTATTGTAAATTGTGCTGCTATGAACATTGTGGTGCATAGGTTCTTTGATATTGATGTTTTAGGATTCTTAGGATATAATCCTAGCAGTGGAATTGCTGGATCAAAAGGCAGGTTGGTTTTTATTTTTCTGAGAAATTTCCATACTGTTTTCCATAATGGTTGTACCAGTCTGCAATCCCACCAACATTATGCTGAGTGAAATAGGCCAGGTGTTGAAGACAAGTACCATATGATCTCACCTTTAACAGGAAGCTAAACAACAAAACAAACAAGCAAGCAGAATAAAAACAAAGACACTGAAATAGAGAACAAGGGGACAGTGACCAGAGGGGAGAGGGAAGGGAATTTAAGGGGAAAAAAAGGGGAGGGATTTGGAGGAACAAATAGGAAGGACACAGGGATGAGAACTAAGGAGGGTGGAATGGGAGGGAGGTGGGGAGCACGGGGCGG